TCAAGTTCACTTTATAGTGAGTGCTGCTCTGTGTTCAACACTGGATCAATTAATTATCAGTTCATTTATTCCACAAGTACTTATTGAACACTTACTATGTGATGGGCATTTTTTGAGGCAATAGTGATAGAGCAGTGAATAAAACAAAAATCCTTGCACAGAACTTATATTTTAGAAGCATGAGAGATAATAAATACACAAATAAATAAAATGTATAGTACTCGTATGTCAAACAGTGATCATTGCTTTGGAGAAAAACGAAGTTGAAAAAAGAGTTAGGAAGTGTCTGGACTAGAGAAGGAGGCATTAAAATGTTAACTTGATGGTCATGGAAGGTGACATTTGAACAAAATCTGCTGGACATCTTGAATGGTTAGGGGCATAAAAGTCAGGAGGTATGCAAATGGTCACACTTTGTAAGTCCTATGGGCCTTGCATTCCGCTAGACTGTGTTTCTTGGTGACCACCTACACTCTTTAACTAATTAAAGGGTGTTGCCTGACTGAAAGAGATACTCTTTCAGGTAGAGGTTAGACTCAACAACTTGACTCAAACTTTGAAGGCTGTCTGTCAGGTGAGGATGGCAGAAAGAATGACATAGCAGAGGAGGCCCCGGGCAGAGAAAAACACTGCCTTCTCTAGGGGCAAGTTGGAGATCTTCCCTACTTCAGTGGAGAGGAAAGGGGTAGAGTTAGTTACATGAAGTAGAGAAGCCACTGTAAGCCAGCCTACGCTTAGTCATAGAGCCTATGGGAAGCCACCAAAGTTAATTAAGCAGGGAAAACAACATGATAAAACACATTTTAGTAAAATTAATATAGTGATAGAGTCAGATTCTATTGGAATAAGGAGCAGCTACAGGCAAGGAGGCCATTTTAAAACTTATTTCTGTTATCCAGATATTAATTTGTAAGGGCTAGGCCAGAATGGAAGCAATGACAACAGTGATATTTATAAAGGTGTGATGTTTGTGAAGAATAAATGACAGGCCTTGGCAGATGATTAGATCTGCAGGGTAAAGAAAATGAAGTTAGAGCTGACACATTCATAAAGTTCAGAGAGGTGAGTGGATGCTGTCACTCTAAGACCAAGGACGCTGGGATCCAAACAGGGTGTGACTCGCTCAGGATCACACAGTAGTGAAAAGTTGAAGCAAGAACTGAGATTTCCTGCTTTTCCCCCACTAGATGACTGCAGAGTTTTAAACCAGGCAAACAAGGAAATAGTGTCTCCAACAGAAATGGGTGAGTATGGAGGGGTAGTTTTATATTTGCGGCGTTTGAAGATATTTGAGTGGAAATGCCTGGGAGACAGGCAAAACATCAGGATTGGAAATGACTTCATCCTTTACTAATTTATGATCTTGGACAAGTCATTTAACCTCTCTTAGCCTCAGTTTTCTCAGTTGCAAAGTGGGGATAATGTTATTACCTAATGGTTGTTATTAACTAATTAATATTTGTAAAAAGCTTGGAACAGGCCCTGCCATAAGGTAAGCGTTATTGACTTGCTTGTTAAATAAAATGGGTAAGAAGTAATGTAAACAAAGACGTTGGCTTTCTGAGGAGGTAAGAAGAAGAAGATGTGGGGAAAGCTAGAGAAAAATTTGGGATATTTGATAATATAACATCTGACATAGGTGTCAAGGGAGGTATTTTATGAAGGCGAAAAACAAAATTGAATTACACAAAGATGCAGAGGCAGAGGCAGGCCAAGAAAGGCTGTAAGGTGTGGAAAAAAGGAAGCCTTCCAGAGCATGCTCTACATGGAGAGGCCGTGAGGAGAGAAGCCCAACTATAGAGAACTAAGAGGTGGTGAGAGTGCGGAAGCAAGGCACGTAGCTCTTTTTGAAAGTTGCCAGTGATCTGTGAATGTTTCCAAGAGCAGATACAATTTTAAAATAGGCATTTGGTAAGTCATGGGGATGTAATATACAGCATAGGGAATATCGTCAATAATATCGTGATAGCATAGTATGGTGTCAGATGGTTGCTGGACTTATCATGGTGATCACTTCTTTAGGTGTATGAATGGTGAATAACTATGGTGTACCCCTGAAACTCATATAATATTGTATGTTAGCTATATTTTTAATACAAATCTTTAAAAAATAAGACAAAATAATGAAATAGACATTTGACTAAATTAGTGGATAACACAGTCATGTTGAATCATTAAAAGGCTGTTAAAGAAATGTGGAGTCATTTTTAACCATCAGAGAATTGACAGCACGGAGGATAATAATCCTGGCCTAACTTTCATAGTTGGGTACCAAATACTAAGTAGAATGGAGCATGAGCTGACACAAGGTAGGAGATTTTGTAATTCCTTCCAGACCACCAAAAAGAAAAGTTTTCCTTGATTTCAAATTCTGAATATTTGAGACACTCTCATTCCCTTTTATTTATTTGTATAGAAATCAGCATATTTTCACTGTACTTAAGAGTGTATATCACAGGGCGGCTGGGTATTCAGTTGGTTACAGTGAGTGCTCTGAACAACAAGATTGCCAGTTTGATTCCCACATGGGCCAGTGAGCTGCACCCTCCGCAACTAGATTAAAGAGAACGACTTGAGCTGAGCTGCTGCTGAGCTACCGGTGGGCAGCCGGATGGTTCAGTTGGTTAGAGCGTGTGCTCTTAACAAGGTTGCCGGTTGGATTCCCGCATGGGATGGTGGGCTGCGCCCCCCCTCAATTAGACTGTAGAACAACGATTTGACTTGGCGCTATTGGGTCCTGGAAAAAACACCCTGTTCCCCAATAAACTTTTTAAAAAAAAAGTGTATATCACAAACATTCAAAAACTCAGAGAAGCCCACCTGAAAGGCTGACTTAACTACACAGTGGACTGAAGACTCTGATTTAAAATATTTTCTGTGAATCATCTATTTGTCCCCAGTTTGAAGAAGTACTCACAGAATTTTTCTCTTAGTATTTTCTCTCTATCTGTTTGCTTATGAAGGAGAGCAGAGTTTACCACCCCAAAATGTGCCTTTTTGGATATTGATTATTTTAAGCTGGTTATTTTTAAGAAAGGGAAGACTCAGAAAAAACCTTGATCTTCCTCCAATTGCCTGAAAGAATTTAGATGAAGAACCTGCTTCAGGAAGGGAGGTATCACCACAGAGAACCATAGTTTAATATGAACCAGTGTGCGACAGACAGGGAGGAACCTAGCAAGGACCCTTTGATCAAAGTTCCCTCTGTGTCCCATTGTTAAAGATTGCCCAGAAAACATTTATTTACCAAACATTTGCTTTTCTAGTTCCATGTGAATTGTCTTCCTGCCCTTTGAAGTTCCAAACCCCCTTTTCCTTAGCACAAGATGGCATATAAGCCTCAACTGCCCAATCTGTCCCTCCAGCCCCATATTCTTATGAAACCCCATATATACATATGTAATGAATTTGGTTATTTTTCTCCTGTTAATTTGTCTTACATTAATTTGATTATTAGTCTAGCCAGAAGAACTTAGAAGAGGAGAAGGAAAGTTATTTTCCTCCCCCACACTTATAAATCTTCGTTGAGTAAATATATTGTACTTAGGAGAACTTTGAAAGTCAGGAACTCCACATTTCCAAAAACTTTCTTTTTTTTGGATCTTGTTCCGTAGTCTATGTAATGTTAGCCTAAACTTTGTCTTATATGCTTAAAGGCATTGATATTTGGGAGGAAAAGTTACCTAACCAGCTCTGTAGTGTTACTAAACTACTGAGGCGGCCAAAAGCAGTGAAAAGAAGGCCATCAGGAAGAGACTGAATTCAGCGCTCAGGCATTTATTATATTAGGCTGTAAATTGGAAACCAGCATTATCCAATGGGAATATAATGTGAGCTACATATGTAATTTTAAATTTAAATGCAAGCCATGTTTTAAACAGGGAAAAACAAACAGGTGAAAATAATTTTAATAATATATTTCACTTGCCTAATATATCAAAGTATCAATTTACCGTGTAATCAACATTAAAATTTGTATTAATTTTTCTGTACTGTCTTCAAAATCTGGTGTGTATTTTACACATTCAGCACATTTCAATTCAGACTAACCATCATTGCCAATGGTCAACAGCCACATGTGGCTAGTGGCTACCACACTGGACAGTACCACAGCTTTGAACCAAATATATCTTGCTTTAGTATTTTATTTAAGGGCAAGTTGACAAATAGGGGCATTGTTTAGAGTGCTCCAGTATAGCAAACCTTAGGGTAAACCAGTGACTTGAAATAAACACAGACTTTTCCACTCCAGTGAGCATTGGGACTTTCTGATTTTTTTGAGCTGGGGGGTGGGTTTCTTAGTAGACTCAGCCTGAAACAAACAGGGCTGCAGCATATTCTTGAATCACAGGAAGGCTGGGTGCAGTCTTTCCCTGGAGAAAAGCATTTATTCCCAGGTTGTGAAAAAAAATATTTTTTTTTATAACATATCATGTTTAGTCCTTGGGTGGGTTCATTATACTTATTTAAGGCACCCCAGTAACCATGACGGGCATTTGGTTTGCAAAAGTTGATTTGTATTCCAAAGTTTCCACTGACTCGTTTTGTTGTTGTTTGTTTGTTTTTAATCTTGTGACTCCTTAATAAGGCCTAGCGTAAAGAATTCCTCCGGCGTTGGTTTCCTGACCTCGCCGACTCCGTGGGGGCGGGCGGAAGGCGCGGGTTCCCCGCTCTTGCCCACATGCCTTGGCAACTTCGCAGCTTTGGGCAGATGGAGTTTCCGGCCTCGCTCAGTGGTCGTCTTGTCAACCGCCCGCGCTCCCTTCTGCCTGAGGTCAGGGCCCTGGGAAGAGCGCGCCTTCGGTCGCAGCATCCGGAGGGCAGTCCCGCGGTGTGTCCACACCCTCTTCGCCCGCCGCTCCTGGCGTGCCAGGCCGGGCGCCGGTGGCTGGGCTCGCAGGCGCCTCTCCGAGGCTGGGCCTCCCTCCCCTTGGGTGATTTCAGCGCTGAAGGTGGAAATGCGGAAGTTTCCAGCCGCGACTGACAGATGAGGCTCGCGTCTCGCTCGGCATGCGCTGCAGCGGCTCTGCGGCGCCCCGGGCCCCAGCTGCCTGCACCCCGCGACCCTAAAGGCCGACCGGCCACTGGCGCGCCATGGCCACGCTGCCGAGCGCAGACCGCCGCGCGTTCGTGCTCAAGATCAACAGGTAAAACGCGTTCCGCGGTGCGGTGGACTCACGGGCGCACGGCCCCAGCGGGCCGAGCCGGGCGCCGGAGCCGCTAGGGGGGCTACCGCCGGCCGAGTCCCTGGGAGTCCGCGGCCGGGCGCGCCTGAGTGCGGGGAGCGCCGGTCCCGAAGCTACTGCGGTGGGAGCACCTGAGCGCGCAGTGGCCTGCGCGCCGAGCTCAGCCAGCTCCTTCTCCAAGAATCCCAGCCATCCGGCTTGTCCTTACCTGCCACTGTTCTTTGTCAGAGCAGCCACTCGGGCCACCTTCCCAGCCCCGCCTCACCTGCGCCGCCCTCCGTATTCTGACAGGTGGCCGGGCCCAGGAGTGTGATGGGCGCACGGTTAACTGCGCTGGGCACACCACGGGGTTCCTTATAAATTGTGCCTTACTTGGAGGCTGCTCTGCGAAGGAGCAAAAAAAGAAGTGGTTGAAATGAGTTTTGCTCTGAGGCAGCTGCTTCAGGACTTCAGTTGTCCTTTCCCATCTCATTTTATTTTTCCAGAAAAAGTTTGGCTCCTGCTGACATGGCTATTTTTATTCCCTGGTCTAAAGGAGCCATGAAGTGGAAAAAGTGATTTTTCAAAATTCTCCATTTAAATAAACAGAAGGAATGGCCTGTGACTGACATTTTTACATTTATAGCGCTCCAGTAAAGAACTAAGACCACGGATCCAACTCACCATCTAATTCATAATCAAAATTGTACTAATTCAATGTAAACACATTTACTGCTCAAAGTTTTCACCGGAGGTGCTTTAACTGCAGTGTTTCTTTCACTGAAAACTGCTGACAAGTATTTGGAGACATGTTTGTCTTGCCCTGAGAAATCTAGACCGTCTGGTTAAAAGATAATATGAAACTCATCCTGAAGGGTCAACTTGTTACTCTACTGCTCTCACTGCCCCAGGATTTGTTAGACTTTTAGCTGAGCCTATGCAAGGCTGGTTTCACAAGAGTTCATTTCTGTGCTGCTAGGGTGTGAAGAGGTTTGAAAGAAGGGATTAGAAACCTAGCACAAGGAGGCAAAGGACTTCCAGAGGGCCTATTGAGCTTGATAGGCGATTTTATTTCTACCTGCTGTGTAGCTCCAAGCAAACCATTTCTCTTACCTATTTCTTCATCTTTAAAATGAGTTTAATTATTAATGTGTACTGTATATTGATGTCGGAGGCCAAAAGGTACTAGTTGAAAAGGCATATGGTACATTAGAGATCTCCCTATGGGGATTTTTTTCCGTTAGGTTTCATGGCTGTTGCACAACAGGATAGGCAATCGTTTGAGGGTTGTGGGATCAAACTGAAGTTATTGATGGATGTACCACTTGCTATAGCTGCTGCTCCTCCATCTTTGTGGATCTGAGGTCAGTAAGTGTGACTCAGACAGACAGAGATGGTGGGCTGGATGGAGTTAATCTGAGGAGAGCAGCAGGACCTGAAGTAACCCTGTAGGTGGTCTTGAAAGCAGCAGTGGAGTTGGTGTGGCCTGGTGGTTAAGAATAAAGGCCCTGGCTACCATCAGATCTGCTTGCATATTGGCTCTCTGCTACAGACTGTGTGACACTGGTCCTGGTATTTAACCTCTCTAACCTCTCTCAGCTTTGGTTTCTCTGTATTTCTAATAAGGATAATCGTAGTGCCTACCTCTTATGGCTGTTGGGAAGATTAAGTGAAGTAATATGTTCAAAGTGCTTATAATGCCTGACTCAGAATAAATGTTAGTTATCCTTTTCAACATTACTATCAGTTTCACCATTGTCATCATCATCACTATTAGCACCTCTTTGAAATCCTAAGAAAGAAGGGTAGGAAGGAAAGCTGAAGTTGCAGGACTTCGCATACAAAGACCAGTTTGGGCTGGGTATGATGATGCCAGTGGCTGGTTGGAGCTGCCCTGGGGTGGGTGTCCTCCCTCATGTCCCTTCTATTCCTGTGCTGAGAATATCAAACACACCCAGTGGAACAAAATGTGTGATGCCATCTGACTAAATAGAGCCCCATTCGAGTTAAATAAAAAATAAAAGGTTCCTGAACACTCAGGAGAGAATAAAGATTAGATATTCCTTTTTGGAGGGTTCTTTTTCCTTTTTGAAACATTTTGTATATGGGGTGGAAGAGTTATGCTAAAGAGATTGAAATAAATTATTGCTCAAAAGAGTGGATTAATAATGCCTAGTATTAATATAAAATTAAAATTGACCGTTTTTTGACCACTTACTATGTCCCAGACACTTTATATACTTAATGGATTATATCATTAAATCCTCACAAAAATCCTATAAGTCTCATAGGAAAATGAAGCTTGGAGATGTAATTGTATAAGGCCGTGCAATTTGTTCAAGGCCGCACAAACAGAAGTGACGGAGCTAGAATTATAAACTGCTCCAAAGACTATGCTCTTAATTGAGCATGAGCTATTTTGAACCATTTAGCTTAAGAATTTCCTTTAAAACCAAACCTTTAAAACCAAAAGGGAATTAACTTTTAAAAAAATCGTTTTAGCAACAGCATTGGCAAATTGTTCTGTATTCCGATTAGTGTTTAATACATATACAAACTAACAATGTAATTTTTGCAGTTTTGAAGTTGGAAAAGAAAATATTTTCCCTTGCATGCCTTACCTACTATTTTTAAAAATAGATCAACTTACAAAAGTAAGACAGTGTTGAAATATGGCCATTAGTGCATTCCTCATGGGTTCATATTTTTTCACCTTTGTACTCAGCATGATACAAACTTTCCCTCAAAAATGTTTGTGGGTAAGATTAATGTGCTTCCTATTAAGGAAATATTTAAATCTGATATGTTAAAAATTTTATTTGTAATGAGCCCCGTTCTGTCCATACCGACCTCAAGAAAGAGTGAGCAGACTACCTCACAGTAGGGAAAGAATATCCCCACCATTCCCCAATTCTGTGGCTCCCTGCAAGCAGCATTGCCCAGTATAGGGGCCGGGCCAAAGTGAAGGAGAAACCTGGGAATGTCCACCAGTGCCCATTCCCCCATGATTGCCCTGGCTCTCATATGCTCTTATGAAGCCTAAAGTTCCATGTGCTAGAAATCATCATATAGGACTTTGTCTTGTTTTGAGCACCACCTGTAATTGGATGACTTGTTATGGTTAACCATTTCTCTAGCTCCTGCATCTCAGGGAGATATAAGAGAAAAAAATCCACCACTGAATTTTTCTGAAGTGGAAGAGCAACATTTAATTTTTTTCTAAGTGTTATATACTTGTCTCTGTTTCAGATTAATTATCGCTGACTTCCTGTGCACAAAGGAAAGACTAGATCTTAATGAGGCAGTTCATGATAATGTTTGCATTTGGGATTTCAGGCACTACTGCATTAAATGTTATAAGGCAGTCCTTGTATGAGCACCAATTCTTATCAACTTTCTTTTCTTTTCCTTACTTACATTTAGTGCTTTCAGAGATTATAAAAAAATATAGTATTACTAATATTCTGAGAAGTCATTAAATAAAATCTTATTTTATCAAACAGAATAGATGTAGAATTTGATCAGAAATTAAAGTAAAATAAGGACATTGGGTAAAGAGGACAAAATTGCTGAATGCGCAAAAACCATTAATGATCCTGTGGACATTCAGGATTGAAAGGAATAAATCAGAATGGCTTATATTAATGGTTACGGTATGGCAGGGACTGGTCTGAGTCTTCACATATTATACGAGTATAACTCATTCACCCCTATGAAGTAGGGGAGAACAATTACTATTTCCATTTTACACAGCAGTTCTCAACCTGTGAGTCGCGACCCCTTTGGGGGGTCGAACGACCCTTTCACAGGGGTCGCCTAAGACCATTGGAAAACAAAAAGATATTTACATTACGATTCATAACAGTAGCAAAATTACAGTTATAGAATAGCAACGAAAATAATTTTATGCTTGGGGGGGTCACCACAACATGAGGAACTGTATTAAGGTCGCGGCATTAGGAAGGTTGAGAACCGCTGATTTTACAGATGGACAAACAGAGCACAGAGAAGTAATGAAAATTGTCTGAAGTCACAAGTATCTAATTAAGAGCAGAGCTGGGATTTAAATACAGGTTTGCCCTGTATCCTTTCCCTTAACCACTACACCAGCATATCTGCCGTCTCAGTTTCATTTAAAAATAATAATAAAATAAGTAACATTTATTGGATACTTATTATGTGTCAAGTATTGTGCCAAGAATTTTATATATCTTCATTTCAGCATGTTAGAAAAGGAACAAAATATTAAGTATAATAATCATCATTAGTGAGCGATTTCTGAAAGATAAAAACAAGGAGCTAAGAAGACAGAGTGCATTCAAGAACAACCCCAGTAATTTTAGGCATGAGGACCAGAACAAATCGAAGGTATAGAGATCTTCCTGAGAAGTATTTGCTAGCTTTGGCTGCAAAGATGATGCAAGCATAGAAATACATATATATATATATATATATATATATATATGTATATATATATGTGTATATATATATGTATATATATACACATATATATATATATTCGCATGTATAAATGTATGTCTGAGGTGTAACAGTGCTGTTTTTAGTAGTGGTGGCAGAGTGGGGTCTGGTGCTTTTAGGAATTACCATATTTCCCCACGTGTAAGATGCTCCCATGTATAAGACGCACCTTAATTTTGGGGCCCGAAATTTGAAAAAAAATGTATTACATAAAGTTATTGAACTCAAGTTTTATTCATCATAAAATTCATACAACTCCTCATCACTGTCAAAACTCCCAACCATTAGCTTGTCCTCATCTGTGTCTGATGATGAATCACTGTCTTCATATATTGCCTCGTCCTCAGTTCCATCTATGGCATTTGAAATCTACATCCACTGTATAAGACGGACCCAGTTTTTAGACCCCAAATTTTTCAAAAAAAGGGTGTTTTATACATGGGGAAATATGGTACTTCATTTGTCTGTTGTGCTCTAGACCAAAGAGCAATAATAGAGGCTTC